GCCGGCTTGTGTGTGTGTGTGTTGAGGGCCTGGCCAGCCGTTTCCCCGCTCTTGCCCGCGCTCAGCGCAGCTGCGAGGTGGGCTCGCATTCGATCTTGTTCCGTGGCCTTCATTTGTCGGGTATGGCCAGGACCCCAGGTAAGGGGACCCGGTTAGTGGTAACGCCCCAGAGCCCCTAAATTGGCCAGAATCACTAAACCAGGTTTGCCATAGCTGGTGTTTTTTCGGGTGATGGCAGTTCCGGTTAGTGGAAATGGGGCGGGGGGGCGCCCCTGGTACAGATTACTACACCAGGTTCCACTTAACCCAGTTCTGCCAACGCCCGAAATTACCCCCGTGGCTCTTCGCCCTGGCAGCGTGCGCTTAAAACTTGTGGGTGCGTGTGAGTGCGCGTGTAGCCAGCGTGCGCGCCAGCGGTCACTTTGGAGCGGTTGGAGGTTCGGCCCGGCCAGCGACGCTCAAGACGTGTGCATTTGTGCTCGTGTGTGCGCGCGTGTGTGTATGTGTATTTGTGTTCGTTAGGCTGGGTGGTTTTCCTCGCGCGCCCGCTCAGCAAGCGCGGCCACCCGCCCGCGGTGCTCTGTGGGATCCACGATTGCATGGTCCCATGGCATCATTCGCTGCGGTTGCGTCACCTGGCCGTCGGAGAAGCACGTGTTTGTGTTTGTGTTTGTGTGTGTGTGTGTGTGTGAACTGTTGCTTGTGGTCTCCGCCTTCTGCTGCCGGCCTCTTTCTCGGCCGCTCCGTCCACGGCGCTGGGTGCAGCTCGTGTGGGCGCACCCAGTGCATACCTGGACACGCGACTGTGGTGGGACATCGCCAGCGAATTAACAATCGTGTGCGTGTGTGTGTGTGTGTGTGTGTGTGTGTGTGTGTGTGTGTGTGTGCGCGCGCGCGTGTGTGTGTGTGTGTGTGACGGACAATTTGCCTTTCGTTTGCCCCGATTCGCCCCACGCTGGTGCGGACTGCCTCTGCCTCGCCGCCGACGGAAAAGTGTGCGTGTGTGTGTGTCTGTGTGTTGCATGCTGTCTGCCTCGATGTATGATAGATCCAGCCGCTTTGATGTCGCATTCGTAGTTGCACGCTGTCGGAAACGTTTTCTGCTTCCTCTCGCATTGGGTGCAGTGGTTTTCGCTCCCTAGTGCCGTCCCCAACGCAGGGTGGTAATTCACTGCGACGTTACCGTCTTCCTCGTTGCCATGTCGCCGGCGGGGGAAAAAAGTGCGCGTGTGTGTGTGTGTGTGTGTGTCTGTGTGTGTGGAGTGGCCATTTCAACGTTTCCCGCTACCGCGCGCCCATGTAGTGGAGACATCGCCATGTCGGAGGTATGTGCATATAGATATTTGTGTATTATATATGTATAGGTGTATGCATATAGATGTGTATCTGTAGATATGTATCCTCCCCACCGCGCCCCTTCCTTCTTTCCCTTGAGTCCAAGTCGGTTCCGATGCATCCCTCGGCTGCCTGTACCGCTTCTTGGACCCAAGGTGCCGCTGAAAACAAGTGTGTGTGTGTGTGTGTGCTGGCAACGCCTTCTCCGCGCGAGGGTCAGTGTATGAACGTCTCTCGGCGAGGAGCTACTCGCTCAGCGTGCCGCGGGGCGACAGCCGCTTCGTGGTCTTCACCCCTGACCGGGAGCCCCAGGACGCGGACCATAACACAATCCTTTCGGCTACACGTAAGAGTGACCGTTGGTGCGGGGGGCATATGGGGTCTTTACATGACTGAACGCGAGGACATAACAGCGTCCTGCTCGCCCGGGTCCTCCCCAAGCCCCCCCAAAGTCGTCCATCAAAAGGCACTCTTGCCTAGGGTCACCCTTGATCGTAGCCAGTCAGTGCGACTCCCGCCCCCCCCTCAGATTTAAGAGGACGTTGACCAGCTTGTGGGGGGGAGGTGGGCGAGACCTTGGTGCCGGCCGAGTGGGCACAAAGGGGGAGACGGAGAGAGGAGGGATGGGAGACGTGAGGGGAGGATACAGGAGAGAGGACAGGCGGAGGGTGGAAGGAGGAACGGGGGTGAGGAGAGAATGGGTTATGCAAGCTATAGGCGCGCTCGCACGCTATCTGACATCCTACTCCTCCCACCCAATCCTTTCCATTTTGCTGTTTTTTCTCTATGTCCGCGGACGTGTGTGGGGAGGAGGACGAGATTGCGGATGCGCAGGAGGATAAGCAGGATGAAGATGAGGCAGATGAGGAAAGAGGAGGAGGAGGACGAGCAGTAGCAGCGGGAATTGGCGTAGCAGCAGACATTGGGAGGAGCAGGAAGACCAGGGGAAGGCGGAGGAGGGGAAAGTAGAGCGGCGACAACAATGGGGAAGGCCTCGGATCCAGAAGCGTGGCCCGCGCGTGGGCGAGAGCGCGATTTTGAACGACGAGAGCAAAGCGCCGATGTTAAAATTTGGCCAAGGCCGCAGCTGCCGGAACTGCTCCGATTCAGAAAGCACAGGAAAGACAACTGATTAAATCCAGTGTGTAAAAACACCGTCCAAGTTTCAGCATGTGTTTTTGGCTGGGTGAGATGCGCCATGATGTTGAAAAGGGCTGTGCGATCTTACCTGATTCACCTCTGCTTGACAGAGTCGAAAGCATTGGCAAGTTGAAACAGCACTACGGCAATTTGTCTTGCGAGTTTCCTCTGTGCGCTGATGCGCGCGTTTTAAAGCTAGGATGGATTATTGCGATGCTGCTCCAGCTGGGCCTTGTTGTTCGGCGGGTAGACACACGAGGAGTGCGCGTGAGCCCCTTTCGGATGTCATGTTGAGCGTGGGTCCCAGTTCCTCGGGGACGCCCGAAAAACTGGCTCCCTCCGCAGCCAGGATAAGGTGAGGCACGAACTCCGCCTGCTCCGAAAGCGGAGGGTGGTTCAGCCCAGGGCGCTTGTAGACCGATCAGGTATGTCAGCGAGCTGATGCCCCCCCCCCCCAGGTGGCGCAACAGTGTCTCGAGTGCCTCCCAGGGTCCGAGGGGCTGCAGGAGAGGCCCTTGTTGTTTCTGGTCTTCTAAGGAGGAATGGTAAGGCTACTGCTCCAAATAATGTTACGCGATGTTGCGCTGTGAGGGCTGTGCTGGTTGCTCTGCGTTCGTCGCAGTCGTCCTGGCTTCCCTCCTCTGTCTGCGCCTTTCGGCTTTCGCCCGCTTGCGTCATTGCTTGGGCTCGTCTTCTACCTGGATCGTCGGCTGCAGGGTCTTCGCTCGCTGGGGCGACGGCGGCTCGTTCGCCTGAGCCGAGGTTTCCCGTTGACCCCCGAGAGTGGCCCTCGGAGAGATCGATGGGGCCGCGAGGTGCCCCATCGATTTGAGTGGCAGCATTGATCACTATGAGTTGCCCCGCACGTCCCGAAAGATCTTGACCCCTCAGGGTGGCGCCGCGGTCCAGGATCATGGTAGAGGGTGGACGGCCTTCTCATCATGAAGATTCACACGGCGGTGGCGCTAGCAAGCCGTACAGCATTGCCCAGTGCGCCACAACATCGCATGATTGGGGCGCTGAAGGTGTGTACGCGGCAGTGTCATTAGTTTGGGCCCTTGCCTATAGGCTGTGCAGGCGCAACACTCGCGCTGCTCCTAGTTGGGCCTTTCTTCTGAGCGCTGGGCTTGCCTCCCTTACTTGGGCTTGGGTGCGCTGGGCCTTTCGGAGGTACTTTGAGCGCCAGGAGTGCCCTGAACAAGGCGAGGAAAACATCTGGGACATGTGGTGTCTGTGAAGGTGTACTGCAATCTAACCTTGAAGGCACAACCAATATGAAGTGAAGCCTAGATTCGACACGTTCACTTCGGGGGCCTGGAAGAGCGCCGCGGGGAATCGGAGGCCAACTCTTCTGCGACGTTGCCTCTGGGGAGAAACCTTCTGAGAGCCGATTGTCATAGAGCGCAGGGTGTGGCATCGAGAGGGTGCGCTGAGCGGAGTGATGGCCCTGCAGCTTCACTGCTGCCTTACAAACTCGAAAAGGAGTTCTGTCCGCGTCACGTTTGGCCCGCCGGTTGCGGTGCCAGGAAGCTTCAGGTAAAGGCTTGTATTGGGTGAGGTTGACGCAGGAGGGTGGTGCAGTCCCGGGTGGGACATCGCGGTGATCATTTCGGTAACGAAGGTGCACCACAATCGCTCGGAACAACCGCTTCTCCTCCGCCGCCGCTTCGCCTAGCCTTTTCCCCTCTCCCCTCCCCTTTCCCCTTCCCCGCTCCTTGCCTCCAGCGGGCGCACGCGCGCCTAGCGGGAGGGACCCGTGGTGCCAGCCCCCGGCCGTGCTTCTATCTCTTCAGTTATCTCCCTCCTCCCTCCTCCCTCCACTCCGTCATTCTCTCTCTCTCTCTCTCTCTCGAGCACCCGCGACCAGCTCCTGAGGGAGGTTGCGTGCTCCAGAGGCGCGGTCAGACAAGTGCCTAATTCCAGAAAGCCTGAGGGTCCCCCTGTGTGGCGGGGGTGTGGGCTCACTCGGGTTCTCCCGGGCTGGATGAGGGGAAGAGGAGCAAGATGGCGGTGGAGTGGTAGCGAGCGCAGGTGAGGAGAAGGAGGAGGCAGAAGAGTTTTTGTGCTGGTGGGGCCAGGGGGGTGCAGTCAGAAAGACTGGCAGCCAGCGGCCTCGCGCGGAAGCGCGAACATGGGAGGAGGAGGCGGAGGAGGAGGAGGAGGAGGAGGCGGAGGAGGAGGGAGGAGGAGGGAGGAGGGAGGAGGGAGGAGGACGAGGAGGATGGAGCGAGGAATCGGCTTGGCGCCAGTCACGGTAAATGCTCGGCCCGCAGGAGATCTTCGCGTGATGGCGCGCGGGCGCGCATGTGCGCGTGCGCCTTCGACACAACCTTGTCGTCGCCGTCGTCGGCGTCGTCGTCTTGCTTGTCTTAGTTTTCCTTCTCTGCCCTCGCGTCTCATTTTCCGATTCCTTTTTGTAATCCTCGTTGTCCGTTTTCCACCTTGATTTCGTCCTGTCATCGTTATCCTTCTCCACCTCGTCGTCGTTCTCGTCTCATGTTGCGTCCCACCTTTCACTTCTCCGACCCTCTCCCCTTCGCCCTCCTGCTCCTCCTCGTCCCTCTCCGGGCCCTCCCTCTCTGCCTTCTTTTCATCCCTCATCCCTCTTCCTCTTCCTCGTCCATGCATTACCACCCTTTTCTTCTCCTCCTTTTCCCTACGCGCTCTTCTGGATACCTTCATCACCACACACCCCTGTTCCTCATTCCCCGCCTCCTTCTCCTCTTCCCACCTCCCCCACGTCCTCCAGCTGCTGCTCTTCCTCCCTCCTTCCTCCCTCCGTCCTTCTCCTCCTCCTCCTCCTCCTCCTCCTCCTCCTCCTCCTCCTCCTCCTCCTCCTCTCCCCCGATTCGATTGAGCAAGTGGTGGCCATGGTTGAACCATCATCCTTCCTCTTCCTCCTGCTCATGCTCCCCTTCCGCGCCCCCACTCATTCTTCTGCCCCCCGTCCGTCTCCCACCCTGCCGAGCAGATCTGACGGGCTTCGGTCGGGGCCGGTGCCCCGCGAAGGGGGAGGGAGGGGTCGGGGGGGGTTTTGAGTGAAGCTCAGGCATCCTGCATGACAAGAGGAACGAGGCAGAAGACAGGCCATTGAGGGATGGGGAAAATGGGGAAGGGAGGCAGAAACTACGATGTGGAGTTAATCTTGACCGTCTTGAAGCTGTCCTCTCCACTGCTCGTGCAAACATCCCATCCTCCCACCCGCAACTTGGTCGCAAGACCTCTTCAGACAAGACCGTGACGGTAGGTACCACATGGCACTTGGCCACGACACCGACGCCGACGACGACAGCGACATCGACGACGACGGCGCCGCCGACACCGACTGCGACGACACCGACGACGTCTCCAATGTTTTCGACGACAACGACGACGACGACACCGACGACGACGACGACAACGACGCCGACGACGACGAAGACGACGACGACGTCGCCAACGGAGACGACGACGAGGGAGGAGAAACAACGACGACGGCGACAACGACGACAACGACGATGGAGGAGGGAAGACGGCGACGACGCCAACGACGAAGAAGGAGGAAGGACGGCGACAACGACGACGACAACGACGAGGGAGGAGGGAAGACGACGACGACGACAACGACGACGAAGACGACGACGACGGCGACGAAATAGGAGGGACGACGAGACGCCGACGACGGACGACGACGACGACGAGGGAGGAGGATAACGACGAGGGAGGAGTGAAGACCGCGACAACGACGACGACGACGGCGACGAAATAGGAGGAACAACGACGAGACGCCGACGGAGACGACGAGGAAGGAAGGACGACCACGGCGACAACGACGACGGAAGCGACGACGACGCCAAGACGACGACGACGACGACGACGACGAGGAAAGACAGAAGACGACGACGGCGACGACGACGACGACGACGACGAGGGAGGAGGGAGGACGACGACGACGACGACGACGCAAGAGCGCGCGCGCACGCTTTTGTTGAAAACCCGTGTTGCGAAACCTTGCGTTTTTGTAGGATTTTTGGACGCACGATTTTGAAATCCTTCCGAAACCGACGGTTTTTGAAGGGTTTCGGCATACGCCCGCGACGACGCGCGCGTCTGCACTTCGTCCTGTTTTTTGCAGAGGATTCTCGCGACGGCACACGCGCAAGGGCGTTCGACAGATTTCGACATACGCGCGAATTTTGTGAACATCTTGAAAAAACTCTTGATTTCCTTAAGATTTCGCAAGAGCTCGCGCGTAAGCTTTTTTAGCAGATCAATGTTGCGAAACCCGTTTTTTGGGGAAATTCAATTTTGAGATCTCTCCGGAACCGAAGGTTTTTGAAGGATTTCGGCATGCGCGCTCGACGACGCTTGCGTGTGCACTTCGTCATTTTTTTGCAAGGGATTCGTGAACAAGTGTTATGTTAGAACAACAAATGTCACCGCATAGTGTTTTTTACAAGGGAACCTCAGGGGAGGGGATACCAGTTTGGCTGGGATGATATGATTTCATATTTAGGATGGACGAGTGTGCAGAACATATATGAAATTAACTAATCCCAGGGGACAGCGTTAAGTCCGGGGGGGGGGTAGAGTCTATTCTCTCGTTAGACGGAGAATCGAGTGACAGCTGGGAAGTAGCATAGAGCAGGAGGCAGGATGCGGAGAGGAGGGAGCAGACGAACGGTGCTCATAAGATGTCGGAGACGCCTACGGCGACCGCCGCCCCCGCTCTTTCTGGGAGGCGCCTCTGTGGCAGAACGTTTGGCGAGAGCTTGTCCATCACGTGTGGGGGCGGGGGCAAAGCGACAGCTCGGTCTTGACCACGGTGCCGCCCTTGATACGTGCAGCTGTTGGGAATGGTAGTCATAATGTGTGGGGACGTTTTTAGCGGGAACGCGGATTTCAAAACGGCACGCCCTCCATGTGTGAATTTGCTTTGGCCGTCGTGATCGTCATCGATGTGTGAGGGTGTCTCAGGCGACACGCCCGCCCAAACCTTCCAGCACGTCTGGAGGTGCGACGCGGATGAGTTTTTGTTTGCAAGGAGAGGGATGACCGAAGAGGGAGGGGGAGGAGGAGGAGGAAGAGGAGGAGGAGGAGGAGGAGGAGGAGGAGGACGGAGAGGGGGGGAAGGAGGAGGAGGAGGACGAGGAGGAGGAGGAGGAGGAGGAGGGGGAGGAGGAGGAGAGGAGGAGGAGGAGGAGGAGGAGGAGGAGGAGGAGGAAGAGGAGGAGGAGGAGGAGGTGGAGGAGGAGGAGCAGGAGGAGGAGGTACGGAGGATGAGAAAGGGAGGAGGAGAAGCATGAGGAGGCGGCAGATAAGAAAACATTATACGGGAAAGACCATGATGTCCGTCATACCCGCGTGTGCGGCCTGGTGCTTCCTTACAGAGTCTCCTCTGGCTCGCCCAAGTCTCTCGCGCGCCCCCCCCGCTCGAACCGGGCACCTCCGGCAGGGTCCACCTCGACCCCATCGATCCGATTCGATGTCAATTCTGGCCAGCCCTGTCCGATTCGATTCCCATGTCCTGTCGATGCGATGCGGCCCGACGCTTGCACGGCGCCATTGGGCGCTCCTGGCGCAGCCGCTCCTCCTCGACCTCGACACTCCGTGCTGGTGCGGCGGCCATCCCGGCGTATACGCTTCGATGCGACCCCATCTCCCTATCTTCGCTGCTGGCTGATCTTGTCCCATTCCCCGCCCAAGTCTCGTCGGCGCCACCCCAAAATACTAATGCTACGTGTGCGTCGCCCCCCCCCAGGGGCGACGCGCGCACCGAGGAATCTTGTGGTGTATGCGTCGAGGCGGGCGCTCTCTGGCCACACCGCTCGGGCGACCATGTACTACAAGATGGGTACACCTTAGGCGATGCTTAAGAAAACCTAAGTTTTCGTCCAGAGTCTCGATTATTCTTAACGTTCTAATGTAAATCCCAAGAGTTTGATAGAAGTTCTGGGTTTTATTCAATTTCTGGGAGTATGAATTTCTTAACCCATGATTTCTTAAGCATTTCGCAGGGTGTATACTACATGTCCGGGTCGGACGCGCGCCTCCAAGGAGGACATCTCGTGCCTCCCATCTCTCCGTGCCTCCCATCTCTCGCGCGCCCCCTCCCCTTCCGGCTCGACCCTGGGGCGCTGCCAGCCGACGGCGGCGCCCGCGGCCGGCGTGGCCCAGGGCGCCCCGGAGGGGCGCCCCCACAGCGGCCTCCTCTCGAGCAGGCTGGGTCCGGGAGGGCACGCGGAGGGGGAGGGAAAGAGCGAGCGGGGGATGGGCGAAGAGGGGGGGCGAGGGGGGGGAGGGAGAGGGAGGGGGAGGGGGAGGGAGGGGAGGGAGAGAAGGAGGAGGAGGCGGAGGAGGCGGAGGCGGGAGGAGGAGGAGGAGGAGGAGGAGGAGGAGGAGGGATCGCCCCTTTCCTCCTCCTCCTCCTCCTTCTCCTCCTCTTCCTCCTCATCCTCCTCCCCCTCCCCCTCCTCCTGTCGCGAGATCCGGGGTCGCAACAAAAAATACATCTTCGCGAACAATCGCAACCGGAGCCACGGGCCCTAGGCTTCGGCAGCAGATCTCGCGCCAGATCGACCCATGAGGGCCCTGGGGCCCGAAGTGGAGCGACATCGCCCGGCGCGGCAAATAGTGCGACGCCGGGATCTCAGGGTCCTCCCCCTCCTCCATTCTCCCCCCCTCACCTCCTCCTCCCGCTCCAGTACGGTCCGGGATTCTGGATAGCGTGTCCTGCCGCCGGTTCTGGCCAGCCACGCCTCGGCGCGACACGCTTTCGGGTCCCCAAGCGTCCACGTCACGAGTCACGAGCCTTGCCCGAGCCTCCCACCCCGTGGAGCGGGACGGCACGCTGCCCGCTTGCAAGGCCTAGCGTGTCGCCAGGGCTGCCGCCGCGGCACGCTAAGCAATAGCTCCCGACCGTTATCCCTCTCCAGCAGGAGTAGTAGTAGCGGGCGTCGGCGCGGGAGACAGAAGGGGAGGACGCCTGCCGCTCCCAATGCACTGCGAGCAGCACGTCCGGCACGATGCCGCGCAGCAGGGCCCGAGGCCGGTGGATCCGCGGCACGGAGGAGGAGGAGGAGGAGGAGGAGGAGGAGGAGGAGGAGGAGGAGGAGGAGGAGGAGGAGGAGGAGGATGAGGAGGAGGAGGAGGAGCAGGAGGGGAGGAGGAGGAGAGGGGGAGGAGGAGGAGGAGGAGGAGAGGAGGAGGAGGAGAAGGAGGAGGAGAAGGAGGATGAGGAAGAGGATGAGGAGGAGGAGGAGGCGGAGGAGTGTGTTGCCCACGCGCTCTCCGCAGCTGGAATTTCCTG